TTGAGGCACCCGGCTGTGGCGCCACCGGGCCATGGCATAACTGGGCCGTGCCATCCCCAGGGCACCCAGCTCCAATCCGGGCGCTCTCCCCATGCCATCCCGGTCTCCGGGGTGCACGCACCTGATACCCGGGGAGCCACGCGTGCCCGTCACCACCCCATGAGCCTGCCCGCCCCGGCACGGTGGGCACCAGACAGCGGTTCCGGCACCATGCCAACCTCACCCCGTCCCCTCACGGCACCGTGTGTCTTTGCAGGGAGTACGGGACCATCGACGACGTGGACATCGACCTCCACGTGAACATCAGCTTTCTCGATGTGAGTCCCCGGGGTGCCCCCGGCAGCGTTGGCACGGGGAGGGTGGGGACACATACCCGGGGGGTCCCCAAATTTCCCTCCCCAGCTGGGGGTCCCCGCGGCTGTGCTGAATCACAGCTCTCCCTCGGCAGGAGGAGGTGGCGACGGCGTGGAAGGTGCTGCGGACGGAGCCCATCGTCCTCCGCCTGCGCTTCTCCCTCTCCCAGTACCTCGATGGCCCCGGTAAGTGGGGACAGGCAGGACATGGTGTCCCCACGTGCCCTCGGAACGAGGATGGCAGTGGCACTGACAACTTTTCCTCCTCTCTCACTCTGCAGAACCGTCCATCGAGGTTTTCCAGCCGTCCAACAAGGAGGGCTTCGGGCTGGGTCTGCAGCTGAAGAAGTAAGAGCCGAAACACAACAGGCACCCAAGGGTGGTGGGTGAGGTGGGCTGCGGGGTCACCATTTTGCCCCAAAACTGGCCAGGTGCCACATGTCCCCATGCCACCCCACCTTTTACCTGCCACACAGCCCGGTGACGGTCTCACCGCCAGTTTTGGGTGGGGAAGTGGAGGATCTGGGTGGCATGGACCACCCAAACACCAGGCTTGGCGGGCACAGAAGCACCCATGGGTGCTGGCACCTGGCTCAGGCACCCGTGCCACCTCTCTGCCAGGATCCTGGGCATGTTCACGTCCCAGCAATGGAAACATCTCAGCAACGATTTCCTGAAGACCCAGCAGGAGAAGCGGCACAGTTGGTTCAAGACGAGCGGCACCATCAAGAAGTTTCGTGCTGGCCTCAGCATCTTCTCCCCCATCCCCAAGTAAGACCCTGATGGTGTCCCCAAGGGACCAACCCTCTGTCCCCTGGGTGGCTGGGGACCTGGCACCGTGCCTGGGTTTCCCCACTCGTCCCTCGGATGCTGCTGCTCCCTACCAGAGCCCGCGAAGGTGAAGGTTGCTCCCAAAAAACAGCCGACGGGTTAATTCGGCGCTGGGTGTCAGAGGAGTAGGGGACGGTGACAAACCGGGGGAGCTCAGCGGGACTCTGTGCCCGCAGGTCTCCCAGCTTCCCTGTCATCCAAGATTCGGTGCTGAAGGGCAAACTG